ACGGAGGTGCAGCACCCCCAGACGCAGCACCCCTAGGCTCAGGACTTCCAGGCTCCTCACGCGCAGGCTCCGCACCTCCAGGCTCCGCACCCTCAGGCTCCTCACGCTCAGCACCTCCAGACTCAGCACCCCCACGCTGCGCACCCCTAAGCTCCGCACCTTAGGGACAGCACCACTCCCAGCCGAACCGGAGTCACCAGTGACCTCAACAGGCGTAGGGATAGGAGGGTCTACCTGAGAAACACCTATAGGAGCAGGGCCTGGCACAGGGAGGGGGTCTACCTGGGGAGGACCTGGGGCGAGAAAGAGCGCTGGGAGGGGGCGAGGAGTAGTGCGGTAGGGGAAGAGGTGGTAAAAGGGGACCGACTCGTAAAAGGGGACTTGCGGCATGAGCACAGGCGGAAGGAGGCTGCAGTGGAGTGCTGCGAGGGGCCTAGGCGTAGAGCCGGGATCAGGGGGATGGCCAGCAGCCAATCTCCTGCCCCAGGCCCGAGGAGAGACTGCAGGCGCTGAGTGTGGCCAAAGAGAGGGTTCAAGGGCATTTCCCGAGAGGCATCGAGTAGCTCAATGTAGCGGGCGGTATGGACTGCCAACGACAAGGCCTGCTGTAGCTTCGGACCATCAGGGGTCCGCCGGCCGACCTGAAGCGCCTCTAGTCTGTCTGGGGGCAGCGCGGCCTCTGCCGCTGCCAGGCGCCGTGGCTCCTGCTCCTGCCACCCCTACCGCCCCTGCCACTGCGACGCTTCCCACTACGAGCGGAAGCAGCTTTGACCTCCTCAGCACCAAGGTAGTCGTGAGCAGCAGCTGCGGAGGCGTAGGAGGGGGTGAGAAGGGAGGGGGAGCACCCCTCGAAGAGGGGAGAGCGAGGAGTGCCACGAGCAGCACCTACAGCGAGGATGTTCTTCTCTACTGCGAGGAGGTGCTTCTCGAAGTCGTCGACAGTGAGAGTGGGGGGGTCTAGCACGAGGAAGTGGTCCCTGACTGAGCTAAGAGTGTCAGGGAGGCGGGTGACGAGGAAATAGAGAGTGAAGTACATCGGGGGGGGGGGTTAGCGGCGCAGAACTCGGCTGAAAGGGCGGCACGAAAGCAAGTGTCAGTAGCGCGCAGGTGGGATATGAGGTCCTCAGCAGTGGTGAACGAGGAAAGGTCGGAAAACAGGTAGGGTAGCATGAGCTGACCTATGGCTGCAGTGGCCGGGGAGGAGTAGCGCGCAACTATAGCGTCGTACAGCTTCTTAGCTGTGCTGGCTGAAGTGCGGGCGCTCAGTAATCGGCAGATGGCTCCTAATAGCTAGGCGTGCAGTAGCATCACGAGTTTGCCATTGCGAGCGTTCGAGAGCAGGAGCAACGACAGTGCCAGACACGTAATCGAAAAGTGAAACACCCTCTTTGGCATCGGTCAGAAGGAACAGTTGGAGATCATCTAACCAGACAGTGAACTCTATGGGGCGACCGTCAGGCTCGAACGCGAGAACGTTAGGCGTCGTCATAATGGTAGCAGGCAGAGGCAGAAGGCAGCAGGTAGCAGACAAGAGGCAGCAGGCATCAGGCCACAAGCAAAGACCGATGCAGCACGCAGTAGGCAGGAGACAGCATGCAGCAGGCAGGAGACAGCAGGCAGTAGGCAGCAGGTAGGAGCGGCCGCACGCGAGCTCCTAAGGCAGCGCGCTAAGCAGCTGCGGGCCGCGCAGGCGGCGGACGCGACGCGCGGCGCAGCGGCGGGCCGCGCTGGCGACAGACGTGGCGCGCGGGGCGACGGCGGGCTGCGCGCGGCGTCGAGCTGCGCGGGCTCTACGCGGGCTGCGCGGGCAACGCGGGCCGGCGCGCGGCGCTACAGCAGCGGCGCACGCTAAAAACAGTGGCGCGCGCGCTAGTAAGCGAGGCGCGCGCGAAAAAAAAAAGTGACGCGCGCTGCAGCCGAGGCACGCGCGGGCAGTAGGCAAGGAAGGCAGTTAGGTGGGCCCGATTCTTAGGTCCTAGAGACCTCCTGCTCTAGTTACCATGTAAAGAACTAAGGCAAGAATGGGGTAGATTAGGTGAAGGTTTGGGTACAAGACTAGGGTATCGAGAAAGTTTGTATACCCCCTAAGGCTATCCCCAATATAGCCTAGATAATGATATCCATATATTTCGACAAGAGCGAGGGCGACGGAAAGGGAGGGGAGAGAGCGAGGGTGACGGAATGGGAGGGGAGAGAGCGAGGGCGACGGAAAGGGAGGTGAGAGAGCGAGGGCGACGGAAAGGGAGGGGAGAGAGCGAGGGCGACAGAAAGGGAGGTGAGAGAGCGAGGGTGACGGAAAGGGAGGGGAGAGAGCGAGGGCGACGGAAAGGGAGGTGAGAGAGCGAGGGCGACGGGAAGGGAGGGGAGAGAGCGAGGGCGACGGAAAGGGAGGTGAGAGAGCGAGGGCGACGAAAAGGGAGGGGAGAGAGCGAGGGTGACGGAAAGGGAGGTGAGAGAGCGAGGGCGACGCAAAGGGAGGGGAGAGAGCGAGGGCGACGGAAAGGGAGGTGAGAGAGCGAGGGCGACGGAAAGGGAGGTGAGAGAGCGAGGGCGACGGAAAGGGAGGGGAGAGAAAGAGGGCGACGGGAAGGGAGGGGAGAGAGCGAGGGCGACGGAAAGGGAGGTGAGAGAGCGAGGGCGACGGAAAGGGAGGTGAGAGAGCGAGGGCGATGGAAAGGGAGGTGAGAGAGCGAGGGCGACGGAAAGGGAGGTGAGAGAGCGAGGGCGACGGAAAGGGAGGGGAGAGAGCGAGGGCGACAGAAAGGGAGGGGAGAGAAAGAGGGCGACGGGAAGGGAGGGGAGAGAGCGAGGGCGACGGAGAGGGAGGGGAGAGAGCGAGGGCGACGGGAAGGGGGGGGAGAGAGCGAGGGAACGGTAACAAGGACCTGAAGAGGGATCGACGGGACATGCGATGGTACGTGCGATTGGACGGGCTGACGGGACACGGAGGGTGGAGTGCGTTGGGAAGTCGATTGTGATGGAACGCGAGGGCGGCGGGAGGCAGAAGAAGAAGGGCGAGGGGGGTGAGGACTGGCAATGGGAGAGAGGAAGGGCAATAAGAGAGAGAAAAGGCGACGAGAGAGAGGAAAGGCGATAAGAGAGAGGAAGGCGACGGGAGAGAGGAAAGGCGACGAGAGAGAGGAAATGACGGGACAGAGGAAGGCGACGGGAGAGAGGAAGGGCGGCGGGAGAGAGGAGGGCGACGGAAAGAGGAAAGGAGACGGGAGAGAGGAAAGGCGACGGGAGAGAGGAAAGCGATGGGAGGGCGTTTCGTTGCGAGTGTGATGGCGACGTTGCAAAGAGTGACGCAGCGACGTCAGAGCGAGGCCGATTGCGACAGGGAATGTGACAATTTCACGATATGCGGAAAACCGATATTCTACTAAATAATTAGGCAACCAAGTTAAAAACATAATCGATGCACCTAGGCAGAAAATGTCTAGGTTCTCAGCTATTCTATGCTAGGCTGAAAAATAGTCTTCAGGAGTTGAAACTAGCTACGGTAGTAGTGAACCCATGGACCGCTTGAACATGAAGCTGGGTCAAGCGATCGAAGCCATTGTTGTGCACCCGTCGTGCAAGTACACGAATGCGACTCCTTGTACAAGCGGCAAATTTTGTTTTGGCGGGAGCCAATCACGTAAGCTCGATCTGTTTAGACGGGTTGTTTGGAACAGGGTTCTTGCTTGCTTCAACGGGCTTACGAAAAAACTCATTTTCAAGTTGGGATGGGGTTCACTATTTTAGCTGCTGGCTTTAAAGCTGCGGTCTACATACGAAAATGTATTTTCGGTGGGTATTTTGGGTGCACACCCTAGGACGCATGCTGATTGGGGAACGAAATGACTCTTTCCATAAATGAGCACGCGAATGTTTCAAACAGAACTGGCGAATCCCGCCAGTTTCGTGAAAGGTTCGGTTGGGGGGTAATTATTTCCGGAGGATTGGGTTGTGTTGGCGATTTCGCCAACACGTGCAACCAATCCGAGTTGGGGAGCAGAATGGCGCGAAATTTAGAAGCCAATCCTGTTTCGCCCAATTTTCAGAGGAAAGGTTGTGCTTTTAGGGTGCAGTAACTCCACCTCGCCACTCAAGGTTGGAGCGAAGCTCAGTGCAACCGTGTTTTCAAGTGATAAACCTAGGCCTCCCGCAGGAGGTATGTAGGCGACAGCTTTAATAGGAACTCCCGATCATCCACGCTGTTATATGTATTCTGGATACGGTAGTGTCCCTCGATTGTATCAAAGAAATCGCAACAGAAAATAGATTGTACACCACTTACCCCTGGAACTTTGTGCCGGCTTGAACTAGTGTAGTAGTTCCACACGTGAACTTGCTTGATTCCGTAACTGGTCAGCAAAGAGCTACTTCTGGCATGAATTCAACGACTAACCATTCAACTTAAACGAGTCGTAACCTGGTCGAACCGAGGAACATGGACAACTGGAAGAAGGACACGGACAACAAATTGTAGCCCGATCAGGCTTGAGAATAATCAGAGAAATTACAAGAAGGGGGAGGGGGCAGAGGGACGGGGGGTGGGAAAGCACATGAATGTTCTCTTGTCACAATCGGGAACAACCGGTTTGAAAAAAATCCAAATTACAACATCATGCCATTGAATTGTGCCACTCACCATCATAGAAAGGCATGAAGATAGCAAGAACTCACCATCACCAAAGGATGGCATGAAGATAGCAAGAACTCACAATCACCAAAGGATGGCATGAAGATAGCAAGAACTCACCATCACCAAAGGATGGCATGAAGATAGCAAGAATTCACCATCACCAAAGGATGGCATGAAGATAGCAAGAACTCACCATCACCAAAGGATGGCATGAAGATAGCAAGAACTCACCATCACCAAAGGATGACATGAAGATAGCAAGAACTCACCATCACCAAAGGATGGCATGGAGAGAGCAAAGACTCACCATCACCGTAGGATGGCATGGGGAGGGGAGTGGAGATAATTCTCCTGGCAACGGTGGCAATGGTTAGCTGCTGTCACCTCCCTCAGCTGCAGCAAGTTGTCTGCAGAGGGGAAGGGGGAGCGTTAGAAGTGAGGGGGAAGTATGGGAGAAGGGTGGGGGAAGATGGCGTTGGGGGTTGAGTGGAGAGCCCCAAGGGGAGAGGCGGCGGGAGAGGAGAGGCTCGAGTGGTCGTGCCTCAAGTCGTCTGCAGGGAGCAGGGGTGGGTGTCGGAAAGCGAGGGGGAAGAGAGGGTGTTGGGTGTTGAGTGGAGAACACGCAAGGGAGAGGCGGTGGGAGGGGTACAAGCGGTGCGTCTAGTCATATCGTGTCACCTTGAGTGAACACGTGGTGTTGCCCTTCCAGCTCCCCCTCAAATCTCATCATCCGCATGCCCTCCTCTCTCTATCGCGCGCGCTCCTCTTCATACTCCGCCAGCTCGCTCCCCTCTAGCGTCCCGTCGTCCGCCTCCTCGTCCCCCACGCCCACGCCTTCGCCGTGCAGGTGGCGCTTCCGCGGGTCGTCGGAGTGTACGCGGAACGGCTTCCGCGCGCCGTGCAGGCGCGCGTAGCCACCACTCGCACGCGCGGTCGTCGTGCTGCTGCTCCACCTCTGCCAAGAGCGGATCGAACGCCACGTGGACGACGCGAGGGTTCTCCTCGCTCGTCGCATCGCCTACCGCGTCGAGGACCATGTCGTCGGCTGTCGCGCTGGCGACGCGTGACGCGAGATCCTCGATACGAAACGAATCGCTTAACGAAATTCGCCGTCTGGTAAGCTCGAGGAGTTTGCGACCGTCAGGAGCACGGGAAGCGCGGAGCACGGGAAGCGCGGGTGAGAAGGAGAGTTATGACGAGAATCAATGCATGCACGTTACCAGTTAGCGACAGTCGCTGAGACTCGTACCCGCTAAAGAGTCGCTATAGTGGCTGCAAACCATCGTAGGTGTCGTAAGCGGAAGTGATGGGGAAGAAAGCTTACTAGGCTGACCCAGTTTCATAGTTTTACCTGGTCACTCAGAGAAACTGAATCGGCTGGGTCCGCGCGGGACAAGCTATGGTGACTGGCGAAGATTGGAGTGCGTGTGGCGAGGCGATGCGAACGCCGCTTTCGCCCTTTTCGCCTTGTGAAGGTTGGAGGTTGGAGTTCTGTAATGAAGTGTACTTGCGAAAGTTGGATAGAGGCTATTTCGAATTCCGCGAGGCGAAGGTGTTATCACATCAACATTGAAAAGAGGTTCCGGAAGGTGGTTAGGATTGGCGAAATTTCCATTAACAATTATCCTTAACATTATTACCTATCCCCCCCAACCTCCTCCCCCTACACCAACTCTCCACATCACATTTCTACTGCACCACAAGTCACATCCATCATGTGCATGTTATCACCCCCTCAACTTTTTGAGGGCGAACCACGTGAGTCACACCAAGTCTAAATGACAGCGGCAAGCTGGCACTCGGTGGTGTTGGTCATGGAGTAGCTGTTGCCGTTGCCGAAGCGCAGCTCCTGCACGCAGGGCCGGAAGTCCCACAAGTACGCATACACAATGTTGACTGTCTCCCCGGGAAGCATCTGCAGAGTGCCGCTAGCACCACGGTTCATGCGCATCTCACAGTACCCCGGCGTCGTCTGCACAAAGATTTCGCCTTGCTGGTACTGCGAGGGGTTGGGATCGGGGTTGTCGAGGATGCCCTCCCACACGTTGCCGAAGTTGAAGCACTGCCACACACGCAGCGGGCTGGTGATGTTGTAGGCGCAGCCGTTGTAGAAGGTCATGTTGTAGATGTCGTTGTGCAGGTCGTACGGCCCCAGGTATTGCGACCGAATCGTCACCGTCGTGCGCCCGCAGGCTGGGAAGGGGGAGGGAGGAGATGTGGAAGGGGGGAAAGAGGAAGGGAATAATGTTATCAGAATTCAGATTGTCACCACCATGCACCCGTACACTAAGCACACAACAGAGGAGGAGGCAACGGGAGCAGAGGAATGAGAGGCAAGGGGAGCAGGGGAATGAGAGGCAAAGGGAGCAGAGAAATGAGAGACAAGGAGAGCAGAGACAGGTTGTGAGAAGAAGAAACAGCAGAGCGAAGGAACCAAGGAAGGGAAGAGAGGGAGAGTGGGGAGCAGCGTTGCGTACAGGTGGCGAGGGCCTGGCGGCGGGGGATGTGGTCGAGGTAGCCGGGCAGAGGCTCGTGGTGAGCGAAGGTCTCAGCCGCCAGAATGCGCGCGCCCTTCCTCTGCTGCCCCGCCGCGCCAGCCACTCCGCCAGGCGCGGCGCCATCCGTAGGGACGAGGCCCCTGGCGACCTTCATGGCGTCCCGCGCTCCACTCACCGCCGCCGCCAGCAGCCCCACCGCCAGCGCCGCCAGCACCAGCACGCGCATGCCAGCCGTCGCCATGAGGAGAGGCGCGGAGATTATAGGAGAGAGGCGAGAAGCGTGAAAGGTTTGGTGAATACCTCAGTGGGAGGAGTAGTGGGAGCACTGGGCGAGCTGATGAATTGCTGACGGCCCATCATGGCTGTTTTATAGGAGGGGATAGACCGGGTGATGCGGGGCACGGATGATGCTAAGAGACGGTTTCTCTCCTCTGGCACGGAGGAGGAATCGCCCTTCCTGCTGCAGCTGCTGGTGTTGGAGCTGAGGAGCCATCAATGCTGCGGCAATGGAGGAGGTGAGAAGTCAGGACGGCACGGCAAGAGTCACTGTTGATTGCCATGCTGCCTGCAGAAATCGTTCCTCTCACATCGCCACTGCTAAACTGTTCCTCTCCTCGCGCCCACTTGGAATTCCCGCTGAGAACATCCGCTTTGAGCGGCCGCTGCTGCGCATAGGAAGCTGCCGTGAGACACGGAGGACGACATGCCAATGGTCGGCAGAAAGAGTTCCAGCTGATCTGCGACGCTCCAGATCTCGCCGACACGTGAGACACGTGTGCGAAATGTCAATGGACGCCAATCGTCCTGCGAATGCTCCAAATCTGCCGCGCGGCTCAGAACTTGCGAATTGATGTGCTGTCGGGACGCAGAGATTTCAATCGGCGGCTCGATCTGAGTCAAAACAACCATGGGAACCGACAGCGACACGGGCGTGGAAGTCCGTTGCCTTGAACGGATCGATCGACGGTTAAACCAAACGACTGCATGCGATTCGCCAGATCGGAATCAGCCACGCTCCCATTTCGTCGAAGCTCCTCTGACCAACCAGTCCCTTTGGTCGAGCTTGGGGACAGTTAACCGGCTGTCTGCGAGTCTAACGACATGCAGCAGTCGAATCGCGAACGACATGGTGGTTGCCCTACTGAACAACGGCTTTCCAGCATTTCAGACGGTTAGGCTGCTGTCTGGTCGGAGTAGTGTGCGTGTCGCTTTGTCGCTTGATGGTTCTACGAGCAACTAATTGGTTGGCTTGGCAACCTAGAAAATACCGCAAGCTGGTTGTGGTGGAGGGTGGTGTCTACTGGTGTGCCTCGGGCAAAACGGTTATTGCAGCATCACGAAGCCTAGATTCGCACAAACGAATTTCGGCGAAATTCATATGGATACGAAGAATATCAGGGCGTTAGTCTCTGAACGAATTTTGGTTTACGACGCTGCCGACTGGAAACTACTGTAACCTTGCTCACCTTGCATATCTGACAAGCCTCATCTTTCACGGAAGTAAACTTCGCCGTAATCCATCAACCATCTCATATCGAACACGCTTGTAGGAAAAATGTTGGAACACACAGTGTTTAGCGAATCCCAACTTGAAGAGAACAAAGACTAGCGAAGCGAGAACACCTTGTATAGAGCACATGAGACAAGACAAGCACACCAACCAGATATCACACTACGTACATAAGTGGGTACTAGAACCCAGTCAGCAAAGCCATTCAGAAGCCCACCACCTGCTCAATGAGCACAGACAATCTCCTCCCCTTCCTCCTCTCCCTTGCTCTTCCTGGGCGGCAGGATGCCAAACTCGCTCTGCCGGGTGGCCCGCAGCTTCTCCAGAAGCTTCTCATCGGCGTTGAAGGCGGCGCGCTGCACGGAGGCAGGCAGCGTGCGCCACACCGAGTTAGTCCCCGCCAGGAACCCCTGCTGGAAGCGGCTCTTGGGAATCATGGCAATGCACTCCAGACCCTCCCCGTATGCCAGCTGCACATGCAATGAGGGGAGACCAGGGGAATCTGTTATCAACGGCCCTCAAAAACAGGCTCTTGGGAATCATGGCAATGACATAGGCAATCTGGGCAAAAATACAAATGGGGAGAGGGGCAGAGGGAAAGGGGACAAGATGCTGTGCTACTGCAGCAGAACACAGCAGAGCACAGCTTCAGTGAGCAAGCAAACGTTCCTTTCCACTCACAGCAGAGTGTGGGAAGCCAGCGGGCATGACCACCAAGTCACCCTCCTTTACATCGTGCCTGAGGGCCTGCCTGCCATCCAGATACACCATCTCCACCCGCCCCTTGCCCTTGGTCACATACACCATCGCCGCTGCATTCGCCAGCCACGCTGGCGCCGTCATGGCGTTGCCCTCCAGGCTGAAGCGCGCCACTGCAAAGCCCACTTTGCGGAATGCGGGCAGCTTGTACCCGTTGGCTGCCGTGACCGTGCCGCCGCGCTTCACGTAGATGTCCGGCTGGCGGGCCTTGAGGTTGTAGGAGAAGTCTGCAAAGATGCTCACACCGGGTTTTGCTCCCTTGCCAAACTGTGGCTGATCGTTTCCCCCATATGCCTCCTCCTCCTCCCGCTCATTCTCCTCTGCCTCCTCCGCCTCCTCCTCCTCCTCCTCATTCCCATTCTCATTCCCATTCTCAGTCTCTTTCTCATTCTCATTCTCCTCCTCATCCTCCTCCCCATAGTTTTCCAGCTCTGCCCGAAGCTGCGGAGTGACTTTGACAAATACGCTTTCCTGCTGCGCCTGCAGCAGCTGCTGCACCTCCCCCTCCTCCACGTCCCACGCCTGAGCCATCAGGTCGTGGCTGGTTAGGAGGAGGTATGCGGGGAAGGGGTGAGAATGGGAAAGGGGAGGGAGTGGGGGAGAACTGACAAAAGAACAATAACTATAATGTTACATTCACAAAGAGCTAACGTGGGAGTCAATTACCTAGTCTCATGTCACCTGAAGCCGCGGCGAACTCACCTGAAGCCGTGTAGAATGCTTCCGAAATTCTCCTTATGCGCGCCCATGAGGTGGAAGGCGGTGTAGCGGCCGGCAGCACTTGGCGCGCCCTTGGAGGTGTTAGCGGCATGGGAAGTATCGGCCACGGAGAGCACCTGAAACGGCTGCTGGCCGTTGTTCCAAATCCACCGTGCCCACCCCCGGGGAATCGCAAAGGCGTCTCCCTCCCTCAGCCGCCTGAACAGTGCAGAACCAGGGGACGCATGGCATGGAGCAGACAGAAACGGCTGCTGAGGTGGACGCAAACAGATGTAGGCGGAACAAGAAACGCAAGCGAGAGGGAAGGTTCGAGACAAAGAGTTGACTTGATGCACCGTTCCTACAGGTGACGGTGCTGATATGGGGTCCCATGAGACAAAGGTTCTTAAGGCTACCTGAGATTCGTTGGTGCTCCCATGGGGCTGATAAGGCCTGCCATAGCCTCGCCCTTCAACACGTAATAGGCCTGATGAATACGCACAAGGCATGGTGAGAGAAGAAGGCACGTGAGAGAGGAATGCGGGGTGAGGGCACGGTGAGGGCACGGTGAGGGCACGGTGAGGGCACGGTGAGGGCACGGTGAGGGCACGGTGAGGGCACGGTGAGGGCACGGTGAGGGCACGGTGAGGGCACGCACCAGCAGAGCAAGTCTTCGAATCATCCAGTGACAAACCAGCACCAGCAGAGCAAGTCATGAAGCGGGAGAGAACAAAATCACAGAGAATATGTTGCTTTGCAATGGTACCTGCGGGGAGTTGGCATATAGTGGCAGCTCAAGGAACTGGCTCTGCACTGTTATCAGCGCCGCCGCCACATGCGCTTCCTGGAAGTATGGCAGGAAGAGAAAGGGACATATCACGAGTTCCCCTCAATTTGTCCAGCAAAGAAAAAAAAAAGAAAAATGACAAAGAAACAAGTACAGGCTTGGGTAAACAAACGAAGGCCAAGTTCCGCGACCACATAATCACAGGCAGATTGAGAGGCGTTGCCTGCTGCTGCCTGAAAGGCGTTCCCTCACTCACCTGCAGCTGCTTAAAATCTTCGTTCCACACCTCCACGCTCCCTCCGCTGCCCCGGACCCTCTCCCCGGGCTGCCCGGGAAGAAAATCCTGCTCCTGCTCCTTTGCGAAGGCACCCACCAGCAGCGCCACCAGCAGCGTCGCGAGCAGCGACCCCAGCAGCGCCAGCACAATCTCGAGCCTCCCCATGCTAGCTCGGCTCGGCCCACTACCGCCGTTCAAGAAGCCCCAGCCCGAGTGCAAGGCGGTCGCAGAAAAAACCAGCCCGACTAGTTCGGCCCACGCCTTGCTGCTCACGCCTTCCTGCCCACTACCGCTGTTCAAGAAGCCTCAGGCTGAGCACAAGGCAGTCGCAGAGAGAACAGCTCAACCACTCGATCGATGAATAAAAAAAAATGGCGCGAATTTCTCACGCAGGCGTCATCAGAATCGCTACGAAAAAGACTCCTTCCTCAAAGCGCTACAGGGTATTCCTTAGACTTCTTAAAGGATGATGGCCGGATGGATTCGCTACGAGCAAGACGCCGACCCGAAAGCCGCGCTAGGGGATGTAGACGCACGCGAGTCGAGCGTGGTGAGGAGGCGGCGCGAATCAAGTCTTATCAAGTCGAGCGTGGTCCGTCCGTCCGTCCGACTCGCTCACGGCGGACGACCTCGGGTTTCCGCCGCCATCGCCGCAGCGGAACCCGCGCAGCGGCGGGGCGGCCTCTTCGCATCCGTCCATGCAGCCCCGCGTCGACTCGCCGGCGATGCGCGCCGGGTCCGCTCCTCTCCATCTCGCCATGCGGAGGCATCTCCATACCAGCACGCCCGCCGGTCATGTGACACAATAACATGTAGAGGCTGGTATGAAAGCATGTAACATGAAGGTATGTAGAGGCTGGTATGACAGAGGCGTGTGGTGCGGAGGAATGCCCGGCGGCATGGATTGAGATGCGCGTGGAGGCACATCAAGAAACAAACTAACAGAATTGCTTACGAACAAGAGAGGAAAAAATCAGTAAAGATTGTCCTCATTCTATCTTTCGTTACAAGTGCCTGAAAAGCCACAAAATCAGCCCGAGACAACTAGATAACAGCTCAGCTTTCCAAACCGTGACAGCAGCCTAATGTCTGCCTCAACACATTATTGTTCACCCCAAGATTGGTGTAGCTGAAGCATCACCACTTCTTAATCAGCTGTACCTGCAAGTGTCCCCTGTAACTGTAACCTGCACTCATAATGAAACACTTACCCACCCGCCATCCATGCATAGCCATCTAACGGATGCTAGCCTTCATCGCATCAAAGCCCTCAACCCAGCTGCAAGCATCACCACTTCTTAATCAAATGTAGCTAGCGGCAAGTATACCCTGTAGCCTGCACTCCAGAAATCCTGTCAACCCCCAGACACAACCATCAAGCGGATGCTAACCATCATCACCGCATCAAACCCCTCGTGATCCCAGCAGCCTTCTCATCCCAGCTGTTGTCTTGTCTTGATAACGCTCTTGAGCGCCGTGAGCCACACGCCACACTCCTCCCAGTCCTTGGTCGTCAGATCCACCTGTCGTTGAGTGAGCAAGTGAAGAGGAGGGAGGTGTGAGAGGGGGGAGGGGGAGCGGTAAGGGAGGGGAGCGCATGTGTGTGTTTTTTCATGCTGGAAGGAGGGGATATGTGTCTGTGCGTGTGTATACGCTGGGGGAGAAAAATGTGAGTGGTCTTGTCAAAGTGCAACACCTCACATATATCCATCCACCTCTTACCACCGCTCTCCACCCACCTGGATGTGCAGAGCAGTGGCATAGTCCCCGGCATCCAGAGCAGCACAGAGTGGCCCCAGCTTGCCAGCTACGGAGGGCGACACATCGCGCTGGTTGAGGCGCTGCAGCAGCAGCCCGAGCTTCTTGCTGTTGGCGTCCATCTCCCTCTTCTTCCCCGCATTGCCCTGCGCCGCCACCGCCGCTGCCACCTCCTTGTACACCCTCCCCAGCGTGCCTGCCACTGGGCGCAGCTCAGCTGGGGCGAGAGGGAGAGAGGGGGAGAGAGGGAGAGAGGGGGAGAGGGGAGGGAGAGCAGCACACACCCGGTTCAAGAGCTATCAATAGCCAGCTTGTCTCAAAGAAGCACACTCACGGGCCACGCCGTGGAGGGGGTGGGGGGGGAGAAGGAGAGACGAGAGAGGGCCGGCAAAGCAGCACATTCACAGGGCACGTTGTGGGAGGGAGGGTGGGGAGGGGGACGAAAGACGAGAGAGGGCATGCAAAGCAGCACATTCGGTTTTTTCGAAACCCAGCTTGTCTCAAAGCAGGGAGATCTGAGAAAGCAGGCAGGGAGGCACACTCTCGGGCCACATCGTGTGGGGGAGGAGGGGAAGACGAGAGGCGAGAGACGAGAGAGGCGGGCTGGCAATAAAAAAAGAAAACTCACGGGCCACGTTGGAGGTGTCGGCTGTTTGCACCGTGGGCGGCGGGGCGGGCGGCGCAGCCTCGGGAGCAGCGGGGGCGGGTGCAGCCGCAGCAGGAGCAGCAGCAGCAGCCCCAGGCGGACCCACAGCAGCAACACCAGGGGGGCGCACGCCAGGAGGGGGACCAGTGGGGCGCATCATGGGGGCAGCGCCAGGGGGGGGAACCCCGGGGGGAAGCACCCCAGGGGGGGGTGCGCCAGGGGGGAAGACTCCAGGGGGAGGGGCGGTGGGGGCCATGCCGGGAGGGGGGCCGGTGGGCATGCGGTGGGCGGGAGGGGGAGCTACTGGGGTGAAGGCCACTGGGCGGGGTCCCTGTGCTGCCCGTGCTGCTGGTGGCGGCTGCGTGGGCATCATCATTCCCGGCTGATGGGGGGAGGTGGGGTGGTGGTTGGGAGGGGAGGGGAGGGGAGGGGAGGGGTGGGGGGGGGAGAAGTGTTGGTTGGAAAGGTTGGGTTGAAGGCTATGGGGCGGGGTCCCTGTGCTGCCCGTGCTACTGGTGGCGGCTGCGAGGACATCATCGTTCCCGGCTGATGGGGGGAGGTGGAGGTTGGAAGGGATTAGGAGGAGTGTGGGTTGGTTGGGAAGGAGGACGTGAAGGACGAGAGAAAATACAAGCAATTGGTTAAGAGCGGTGAGAATGGGGGAAGATGGAGTGGGACGGAAAGACTTACTGGAGGGCCGGAGGGCATGTGATGTGTGGATGGAGGCGGGGCGGCCACAGGCGGGGGAGCAACAGGCATGAAGGACGGCTGGGGAGGGGTGGTAAGGATAAGAACAGAAGCAAGCACAGCAACAGGGGTTTAGGGCAAGAGAGAGATAAGCAGAGGAAACGAAGTGCATGAGAAGAATCGAGCCCCAAACCCCTGAGCTGGTAAGGAGTACCGACACTCAGTCCAGAAAATCACCTGCAGCTGTGACTTTCGCACGCTCCCTCCCTGCGCTACTACCCCAGCAGCAGGTGAGCAGAGGGCAGAAGCACAGCAAACCACATAGATGTATTGTCATGGCAGGAGCTCACCTGTGCGCCTGGTGCTGCCTGCCCTGCTGCCATGGGCTGCATGGGCTGCATGGGTGGGGGGTGCTGCGGCATGGCCACACCCGGGGGCGGTGCAGTGGGCATGAACATGTGTGGCCTTGCTCCTTGCTGCTGCTGCTGCTGCTGCTGCTGCTGCTGTTGATACTGCTGCTGCTGCACCTGCTGCTGTTGCTGTTGCTGTTGATACTGCTGCTGCTGCTGCTGCTGCTGCTGCTGCTGCTGCAGTTGCTGCTGCTGTGCATAGGACTGAGCAGGAGGAGCAACGGGCTGAGGCTGATATGTGGATGCATAGGAGGTTTGCGGATGCCGTTGCTGGGGCTGATGCTGCTGCGGCGGCTGCTGCGGGCGAGGTGGGGTGTGTGCGATCGGCTGCTGTGGCTGCTGCGGGGCCGCCTGGGCAGGTGCTGGTGACTGAAGATGGAAAACGGAGAGGTGCGAATCGTGATCAGGACATGGAAATGGGAGACAGCGGAAGGAAGAGAGGAGAGCGGAACACGGGAAGGGGAGAACGGGGAAGGGTGAGGGGAGAACGGAAATCGGAAAAGGGAGGAAGGAAAAGGGACACCAGACAAAAAAGGCTAACAGCTTACTAGGGGTGTAGAGCTGGTACTAAGAAGAGTGAGCATAAGCAGCAGTATCTGCTGACTAACAGACGGCGGCGGCGGCGGCGGCGGCGGCGGCGGCAGCAGCAGCAGCATTGTGGCCAGTTTTTGAGTCGACTAAAAAATAAGCAGCAGCATCTGCTGCCTAACAGACAGCAGCAGCAGCATTGTGGGCAACAACAAATGCCGGGCAGGAGATGAGGCAGGTACATGCCTGATAGTACGAAGGCTGAGCAGGCGCAACAGCAAATGCTGATTGCTGTGTGGCATACGGCTTGGCAGCAGCAGCAGCAGCAGTGGTGGTGGTGGTGGAGCCAACAGGCACATCGACAGACGTGAAGGGGAAGGGCGGGGCCGGCTGTGAGGGGTCCACGACAACTGCGGTGAGTGGCATGGCATGGACGAGGCAAGGAGTTTGGTGAGTGAACTGAATGCACAAGAGGATGCAATGCAAATGTGGCGCTCTGGTTCTGATCTCCCACCAATGAGGTGGTTTTTGAGGCGCCGCCTCAAAAACCACCTCCAAGACAGGGTTCTGATCTCCCACCAATCTGCAGCGATTGGACCTCCCCATCCCCCTTGTAAGGCACACACACAGATGAACACTGTCCTAAGGCCACACACACACACACGCACCCAACCACCCACCCACCACACACAGGGGCACCCACCCACCCAAACACACACACACACACACCCACACACATGCACCCACCCACCCAAACACACACACACATACACACACACACACACATGCACCCACCCACCCAAACACACACACACACACACACACACACACACACACACATGCACCCACCCACCCAAACACACACACACACACACACACATGCATCCACCCACCCAAACACACACACACACACACATGCACCCACCCACCCATACACACACACACACACACACACACACATGCACCCACCCACCCCCACCCAAACAAACACACACACACACGCACGCACGCACACACACACACACACACACACACACACACACACACACACACACACACACACACACACACACACACACACACACACACACACACACACACACACACACACACAGACAGCAGCAACCCACCGAGTCCGCTGCGGTAGATGCGCTCCTTCAAGGCAGCAGCAGCCGTGGCAGCCTCGGCCACACTCGGGTCATTCACACTCTCCTCCCACGGAGGCAGAAGAGACAACAGATGCTGTGCCGCCGCCGCCCGGCCCTGGGCCGCCAGTACCGTTGCGTACTCTGAGACGAGCGACGCCGCCCACCTGCCGCCGACCCTGCTTTGTCCTGTAGCCAAGCCCAGCACCACTGCCTTCTCAATAAGATCCTGGATTTGATCGAGGAAATAAAAAGGGAGTAAGGGGGGAAAAGGGGGAGGGGGGGGGGGGGGAATGGAGGCAGCAAAAGTAGTTACGATCTACACCTTGTACTTACAATGACCCTTCTTCCCATTCCAATCCGCTGCTTCTAGCACCACTTCAGCTTAAAACTCATCTGAAGGTGCGGCAGAGCTGGAATATTTGTTCTGGCAACCGGGGTGGGGCCAAAACGTTGACCTTTGACTGCCACGGATGACAGAACACCCACACAAGGACACTAGACTCTAGACTTTGCAGGTGCAGCAAGGGTGGGGAGGCCTGGGAAGGCTGTTCGTGCAGCAGGGTGGAGGCCCAGTTGTCCACCACTCGGTCAATGGATCCCGCACACATGAAGCACAGCGTAGCCCTGGCGCCTCAAAAGCCATCCATGCATAGTAGTCCCTAGAGCGAACTCACTTGCAGGTGCGGCAGGGGCGGGGACCCCTGTGAGGGCTGCAGGCGGGAGGCCCAGATGTCGACGACTCGGTCAATGGAGCCCGCACACATGAAGCACAGCGTTGCCGCCTGCCACTGCCCCGCCGCTTCGAGCCGTGCTGCCAGCTCGTCACACAACACGGACCACTCGTGGCTTGGCGCATACTGTGAGAAGGGAAGGGGGTGGTGACACGAATGGTGAAAAGGGAAAGAGTGGGCGAATGGAAAGGGGTGCTTCCAACCGCGCTGCCAGCTCGTCACACAACACCGACCACTTGTGGCTCGGTGCGTACTGTGGGCGCAGGGGAGGAGTGGGGGGGGGGGGGGGGGGGAAGTTGAGACGTCCTAGAAGAAAAGAAAAACAGCGTTGCCGCCTGCCACTGCCCCGCTGCCTCCAGCCGTGCTGCCAGCTCATCACACAACACTGACCACTCATGGCTTGGCGCGTACTGTGAGGGCAGGGGCGGGAGGAAGAGTGGAGAGGAGAAGGGAGGTGGAGTGGAACGGATGGAGAAGAGGCGAGGAGAGTGGGAGAATGGGAAGGGGGGGCACGGAGCAGTCATGTATTCTGTGCAACAGTGCGAGGAGAGAAGCAGCTACCAGAGAGAAAAGAGAGTGTGCAATGAAGGTCAGAATTTAATCAGCAAGAGGAGAATGAGGGGCTGACAGTGCAGCGCATGGCTTACAGTGCAGCGCATGGCTGACAGTGCAGCGCATGGCTTACAGTGCAGCGCATGGCTGACAGTGCAGCGCATGGCTTACAGTGCAGCGCATGGCTTACAGTGCAGCGCATGGCTTACAGTGCAGCGCATGGCTTACAGTGCAGCGCATGGCTTACAGTGCAGCGCATGGCTTACAGTGCAGCGCATGGCTTACAGTGCAGCGCATGGCTTACAGTGCAGCGCATGGCTTACAGTGCAGCGCATGGCTGACAGTGCAGCGCATGGCTTACAGTGCAGCGCATGGCTGACAGTGCAGCGCATGGCTTACAGTGCAGCGCATGGCTTACAGTGCAGCGCATGGCTTACAGTGCAGCGCATGGCTTACAGTGCAGCGCATGGCTTACAGTGCAGCGCATGGCTTACAGTGCAGCGCATGGCTTACAGTGCAGCGCATGGCTTACAGTGCAGCGCATGGCTTACAGTGCAGCGCATGGCTTACAGTGCAGCGCATGGCTTACAGTGCAGCGCATGGCTTACAGTGCAGCGCATGGCTTACAGTGCAGCGCATAGCTTACAGTGCAGCGCATGGCTTACAGTGCAGCGCATGGCTTACAGTGCAGCGCATGGCTTACAGTGCAGCGCATGGCTTACAGTGCAGCGCATGGCTTACAGTGCAGCGCATGGCTTACAGTGCAGCGCATGGCTTACAGTGCAGCGCATGGCTTACAGTGCAGCGCATGGCTTACAGTGCAGCGCATGGCTTACAGTGCAGCGCATGGCTTACAGTGCAGCGCATGGCTGACAGTGCAGCGCATGGCTTACAGTGCAGCGCATGGCTGACAGTGCAGCGCATGGCTTACAGTGCAGCGCATGGCTTACAGTGCAGCGCATGGCTTACAGTGCAGCGCATGGCTTACAGTGCAGCGCATGGCTTACAGTGCAGCGCATGGCTTACAGTGCAGAGCATGGCTTACAGTGCAGCGCATGGCTTACAGTGCAGCGCATGGCTTACAGTGCAGCGCATGGCTTACAGTGCAGCGCATGGCTTACAGTGCAGCGCATGGCTTACAGTGCAGCGCATGGCTTACAGTGCAGAGCATGGCTTACAGTGCAGCGCATGGCTTACAGTGCAGAGCATGGCGAGTGTTTCCCGCCAGTCAGAGAGCGGCTGTGACGCCACGAGCCCTCTGATGTCACTCGCCACCACCGCTCCCAGCAGCTGTGGACCAAGATAGGGTGGAAGGGGGTGGAGGGGAGGAGAGGGGACGAGGGTTAAAGCATGGGAAAGAGGGTTGAAGGAGGCTGTGACGCCACGAGCCCTCTGATGCCGCTCGCCACCACCGCTCCCAGTAGCTGCATCTCCACCACATGGGGGGAGGGAGGGGGAGCGGAGAGGGGGGGTGGGAAGTGGAAACGAACGAGGGTTAAGAATGGGAAGGAGGGAAAAGGGCTGCGATGCCACGAGCCCTCTAATGTCACTCGAGCACACGAGCCTCAGCACACTAGCGGCATTAGAGGGCTCGTGGCGTCGCAGCCCAGCAGCTGTGATTGCTGCCAGGGATGGGCGTGTGCAGGCACAACGGTGTGGAGATGGGGAGAGGAGAAGAGCTGGTGGCAAACGGGAGAACGGGATGAGGGGATTGATGTGCCTGGGTGCAAGGGAGGAAGAAAGAAGAGGCACACACAGAGCAGCCCTCGCTGCGTCTAGCAGAACAGAAACCACAAGGGAGGCTAGAGCTGCGTGAAATTGGGCTGGGGTGACAGGACGAGGGGGGGGGCCTTGTGCAGGCCTGGGACCGAGTCAAAGTTGGAAGCATTGTGATAGCCTTGGGGCTGTTCACAGTATCATAGCCACTACTCAGAGCACATGGCAACCTCTCAAAAGCCACAAGGCGCCCACGACAGCCAGCCCACGCACCTTGAGAAAAGAGCGGCGGCGGTTGCGGCGGAGGTACCAGCGCTGGGTGCGTGCCCAGAGGTCCGAGTTGAACCCCGCCACTGCTGCCAGCACGAGCGCATCCGCCACCCTGCCCGCCGCCAGACACCTCTCCACTGCCGCCTCATAGTTCCCCACCACCAGCGCCCTCTGCACCTCGCCCTCCCACTCCCCGCCTCCCTCCTCCCCCTCTTCCTCGTCATCTTCCTCCTCCTCCTCCGCCTCCCCCTCCCCTGCTGCTTCCCCGGTGATCTCGCCGTTCTCTCCCGGAGCTTCCCCTGCTGTGGCTGCAGCAGCAGCAGCAGCAGCAGCAGCGTTGGGAGTGGTGCTGCCAGCGAGATCGTCAAAGAAGTCAACGTCGCCCGTGGCGGACGGAATTCCATCCAGCCCTGTTCCCGTCCCCGCCACAACCCCCCCTCCTTCCCCACCAGCACCGTCAAGAGACAGACCTCCCACTCCTGCTGCCGCCGCCTCTGCTCCCGCCTCTCCCGCCGCGGCCTCTGCTGCTGCTGCTTCGGCTTCAGCAGCAGCGGCGGCAGCGGCAGCAGGGTCTTCGGCGGGGGGCAGGGTGGGGTTGGGGATGTGGATGGGCGGGAAGTCGAGATGTGCCAGCAGCTTGCGCCGGGCATCGTCTTCAAAGAGCACTGTGAGGAAGTCCCACGTCTCCCTGTCCTCTGGGGCACTGGGGAGGGCGAGAAAGAGTGGTGGGAAAGAGAGTGGTGGGAGAGAGGAGTAGGAGAAGAGTGTCACACACGGACCCAAAATCGGTTAACTCACAAACAAACGCGCTCCGCCATGCAAGAGAGTATAGTGTCATCCGCCCCTCCCACCCCCTTCCCCCCTTGCCACCACCATCACCATCATAATGAACCCCATCACCATCACCACCCCCAGCGCACGCCAGCGCCACTCACGTGGCGAGCTGCGCCTTGTGTTGGCAGAAGGCTTTGAGATTCTCCCTGTCGCCGCCCGCCACGGCAGCCTCAAACTCGTCAGCGCGGGCCACCACGCCCTCCTCCGTCACCACACTGTGCACCGCCACCTGCGCCCCATGCCCTGCTTGCCCCACCTTGCTTCCAAAGCACAGCAGCCGCCCGCCAAAGCCAAAGGTTGCTCCGCACGGCCGCTTCAACCACTTGGGCGCGCGGGATGTTGCTGGAGGGGAGGGGGGGGGGGGGAGGAAGGAGGGGAGGGCGGGAAGAGCAGGAAGTGATAGAGGGGTTTCCTCAGCAGTAAAAGAGGGCAGACAGTGGCTGCATGGCACGGCACATCACAATCATCGCAGGTAGAGATTTGTCAATGTGGCACATGACAGCGGCATGGATGACGTGGCATGGCATGGCACAGTCAGAACGAGGTACGTACCCATGGGCGTTCTGTTGGCGAGCGACGCGCCAAAGTCTGACTCCTTGCTGCTAGCCGACTGCTTGGGAAAGGCGGGAGCAGAACGCAAAGGAGGGAGCAAGGAAAAAAAAAAAAAAAAGAGGGAGATGTGGGTGGGGCATGGGGGGAAAAGGGAAAGGGAGGGGGAAGGGCGGACACAAGAACATCTGGTATAGTCTATAGACGAAGGGCAACATCTGGTATAGTCTATAGAAGAAGGGCAAAATCTGGTATAGTCTATAGAAGAAGGGCAACATCTGGTATAGTCTATAGAAGAAGGGCAATATCTGGTATAGTCTATAGAAGAAGGGCAACATCTGGCGGACAAGAAGGTTGCCAGTGGCGTATGGGCAGGGAAGGGCGATTGGGAGAACGATTGAGACACCGTCACAAAAAGGGTAGAGAAACGCGGAAGAAGCATGACACACCTCGATGTTGTACAGGGAGACGTGGGCGTCGAAGCAGGATGCGGAGAGCAGGCCTGGCACCCGTGGCGACCAAATAAGCTCACGCATGAATGCTGCGAAGCAACTTACCTTGATGTTGTAGAGCGAGAGACGCACCTCGATGTTGTAGAGCGAGACGTGGCCGTCGAAGCAGGAGGCGGAGAGCAGCCCTGGCACCCGTGGCGACCACTGCAGGTCGAAGTTCCAGTTGGTGCCCGCCGGTAGCTCGCACAACACCTGAAGGGGTGGGGGTGGGTGGGGAGGAGAAAGGGGTTTGAGTCAACTCAAACACATTCTGGGTTGACCCAAAGCACCCGTGGCGACCACTGCAGGTCGAAGTTCCAGTTGGTGCCCGCCGGTAGCTCGCACAACACCTGGTGGAGAGGGGGGGGAGGTAAGGGAGGGTGGAAGGGGGTAGAGGGAGGGGGGGTGGGGGAAAGGGAGAAGAAGGAACACTGCAGGTCGATGTTCCAGGTAGTGCCCACCGGTAGCTCGCACAGCGACTGGAAGTGGGGGGGACGAGAGGAGGGGAGTGGAGTTAGGCAAGAGATGTGGAGGAAACAAGGAGAAGAGGAGGAAAGGATTCGGAACTTTGAAAAGAGAGTATGGCCGTCATTGGCGCATGGAAGCAGCAAAGCAGAGTCGACACATAGTCGATCTACATGCCATCATTGAGGTGTGTTTTGAGGCGCCTCAAAACACATCTCAATGCACGCGGAGTCGCTACATAGTCGGTCTACATGCCATCTTCAAGCACATTAGACACGCATGCCATCTTCAAGCACATTAGACACGCATGCCATCTTCAAGCACATTAGACACGCATGCCATCTTCAAGCACATTAGACACGCATGCCATCTTCAAGCACATTAGACACGCATGCCATCTTCAAGCACATTAGACACGCATGTCATCTTCAAGCACATTAGACACGCATGTCATCTTCAAGCACATTAGACAGCATGCTCAGCGCTCACCTCCCCAACAGACGTGTCCCAGCAGAGGGTGCGGTTGTCCTTGGCGCACGAGAGCAACAGCCCGCTGTCACTGGGACACCACGCCATGGCCAACACTCCTGTGGGGCAGCGGCACGATGGACAGGGGGGAAGAGATGCACATTGTTACGTGATATCTACTGTGTGCGAGGCGCCTCAACAGCAACAGCCCGCTGTCACTGGGACACCACGCCATGGCCAACACTCCTGTGGGGCAGCGGCACGATGGACAGGGGGGAAGAGATGCACATTGTTACGTGATATCTACTGTGTGCGAGGCGCCTCAACAGCAACAGCCCGCTGTCACTGGGACACCACGCCATGGCCAACACTCCTGTGGGGCAGCGGCACGATGGACAGGGGGGAAGAGATGCACATTGTTACGTGATATCTACTGTGTGCGAGGCGCCTCAACAGCAACAGCCCGCTGTCACTGGGACACCATGCCATGGCCAACACTCCTGTGGGGCAGCGCAGTCAACAGGGAAAGAGACAGCACCGTGAGTCATCTGCCCATTCAATTTCTGTTAAACTGCCACAAAATAAGTTTGGAGTCAAAGCCAAAGCACATCCATCCCGCGTTTGGAGACAATACCTGCACAGAGCATGGCAATTTTGCTCACCTGCCCACCCGCCCATTCTAGCTACAGCAAATCGCACCTTCGGTGTGCGAGGTGAGATCCTTCACGTGAAAAAAGGTTGGTATGAGACGTCTCAGAACACAGTATAAGTTCGGACCCCACCCAAGAGCGCACCCATCCTGCCTGTGTCAGGTGGGTTCTAGCTACAACAAGTCGCACCTTTGGTGTGCGAGGTGAGCTCCTTCACAGGCGACATGGCATTGCGCAGATCCCAAACCTGCTCACAGGGGGGGGGGAAGAGGGGGAGGGGGGGGGGGGCGGGGGGTGAAGGGGGAGGAACAGAAAGAGAGGAGAGGAGGGGCGGCGGCGGCAAGCCGGAATGGATAAGGACGAGAGCAATCAAGAGTCACACTTGATAGACGGTGGATAGAAGGAACGCAGGCAAGTGAAAGGGCACCGTACCTGGAGGGAGGGCGAGCGGTCGTCATCAGAGGCAACGATGAGCTGTGTGGCTATCTCGGGGTTCCACTGCAGACACGAGCAGCGCCTCCTGCTCACTGGATCCGCGAAGCTGCCGTGGCGGGCGCAGGGAAAGGGGAAGTGAAGGACCGTGGGCATCGTGAGGTTGGGTGGGCAGAGGGCGGATTGATTTTGAGGCGCCTCAAAATGCACCTCACTACACGCGGATTTTGAGGTGCCTCAAAATGCAGGGAAAGGGGAAGTGAAGGACCGTGGGTATGGTGAGGTTGGGTGGGCAGAGGGCGGATTGAGGGCGGCAGTGGAAGCCAGGAGGCCAGAACACGGGATGGTGCAGAGCAAGGGACGGAGAAGGGGGAGTAGGGGGAGAAGCGAGGAGGGACGAGAGGGGGATAGACCAATAGAGGGATAAAAGACGAGATAGGAAGGAGCGGGGAACGCACCTGATGACCTGCTTTTGCTTGCGGAGATCCCAGACGACTGCAGAAATGAGGGGATGGGAAGAATCAATGGGAGGGAGGAACGGAGGAGTGGAGGAGGCAAGGAGACGTCACTTCAGAGAATTCTCAAGAAAGGAAATGTCAGGACTCAGGGGTATGCATGGCCGGTTGAATGCGGTGGAGAGTGAGCGTGAACGCGGTAGGCCAGCTGATATGAGGTTGATGTGTGCGTAAGGGAGGTTGGGTCACGGGGGGATAGGAGAGATCACAGTGGCAGGCAGAGATGACAACCCCACATCCAGCACGCACCGGAGAGGCCGCTGTAGGAGGTGGTAGCGACGATGTGCTGCACCTTGCGGTTCCACGCCAGACACGATATCTCCCCCTGTGGGCCTCCTCCCGCTCCCTGCTCCAACCACACACGGCCACGCCCACAGCACAGCAGGGAGGGCATACAACATCAACATCAAAAAGTGTGGGAGACTAAGTGAGGGGCAGATTGAGAGAGCGGAGAGGGTAATAAGCAAGCAGACCACACGGACCTTGAGCGAGGGGTAGAGCGAGGGCGCGGACGGGTTGGCGAGGTCCCAGATGCAGAGCTCTCCGTCCTCCGCGCCTGACGCCAGCAAATTGGGCGCCGCTGGGTTGAACTCCAACCCGCGCACCTGCCATCACAAGCCAAGCCACGCCCACGCCATGCCGAGCCAAGCCATGCCACACCATGGCAAGCCGTATCAAGAGGTGTTAAGCCGTGTCAACCCGTGCCAAGCTGTGCCAAGCCGTGCCAAGACGTGCCAACCAACCAGGCTCTGCCGGGTCGTCACTGCAGGAATACTTGCGGTAGATAGGACACGGTACAGTGAGCTTTTTGTACATGGCACAGAGCGCATGCGACGGGAATACTCGAGATGATGTGATGGTTGGAGTGAGTGATCAAGAGTGCGGTCACTGGTTGGATATGAGGTGTTTCGGGATGCGCAGCTCAAGCAAAGGACGTGGTTTTCCTTTAGAAGATCGAGGGACAGAATAGGTAAAGGCGCTGCTTCGACTGTCCGTATCGTTCGCACCGCACAGAACCGCTCTCTACCACTCTTGTCAGCCTGTGTGAGTCGTGTGACTTCCCTTGTGTTTGTCGCTCCTGCCCTGTGCAGAGCGAACCAGCCCTCGTTCCCCAACACTTCACAGTACGTTCTCAACTACCGCCCTTTCACGCTCACTCCTCAACCTCGTTCGCGATCGTCACGCACCGCCCACTTGTGCGCCACTCACCGCGCCCTTGTGCGCCACTCACCACGCCCTTGTGCGCCACTCACCGCGCCCTTGTGCGCCACTCACCGCGCCCTTGTGCGCCACTCACCGCGCCCTTGTGCTTGGACATCTTGGCGACGAGAGCTCCCTCTCCCTCGCCCGTCTTGCCGCTGCCACTCCAGCAACCGCAAGCATCGAAACGACAATGACACACAATAGCTTGTCAGCAAACACGAGCAAGAATCAACTCCGATTTCTGACCCAGCATAGCCTTCTGCATCATCGGAATAATCACTGCAAATAAGACGAAACATTTCGAGCAGTATAGCGCCTCAAACATCGCACGAAATGCCGCAATTTGCGTGAACGAACCACACTTGAAAATCCTAGCGCCGTCAGACCCAACGACCCAGGACACATGCCTGATAAGTCATGCGGGCACCACGGCTCACACGCATTTCAATCGACTCAAAAACCGGTCTGATTCCACGCGGCGCCACGATGCGAGGCACCACGCATCGCATGCGCTGCGTCCTGCATGCTAATGCCCGCACGCGCCATACCTAATGATGCGCGCGGGGTTCCAGAGCGCGACGGTGCCATCAATCAGGCCGCCCGCGATGATGCCGTGGCTGAACACCTCCGACTGCTCCACGCCGCACGATCCCCACGACAGCCGATTGAACCGATCGCTCGCCGTCGCCGCCCCCAGCGACGGCAGATCCGACCGCCCGCCCCCCGCTCCCGCGCTTCCCGGCACTCCGCCAGCCGCCTTGCCTCCGGATTGGTCAGGGCTGCCCAGCCCGCCAAAAAAATCGTCCGGTGACACGTCAGCGGCGTTTCCGAAGGTTCCGGCCGGGCTGACGCCAGCGCCGGAGGAGGCGGCAGATGCGGCGGGATTGTCGGCGGATGCGGTGGTGGATGCGAACTCGAGGCGGAAGATCTCGAGGCAGGCGGAGGAGGAGAAGGAGAGATCGATGGCTCCCGCCATAGTCCCCATCGCTATAAGCGGCTCCGTGGGCGCGAAGGCCACGGTGGCCGATCGATGCACCTCGCACAACGCCATCTTGGCGGCTTAATGCGATCGACTCTTCCGGAGGTCTGACGATGATTGGTCAAGTAGCTGGCGGACCAGCGGATATGACAAGAACGAGAATTTCTCCGAATTTCAACACCACGCAGTCGGATCTCGTCGGATCAAGCCACGGAATAACGAACACACGACGCTACCAGCGCTTCGACCCCGCACGCTTCGAGAGCGTGCGCGACGGAGTGCCGCTGTTTACTAACTAGTAGCCTGGGACCAACCACCTCGCTGGGTCACTAATCCAAAATTACCTAGAGACTGGCGAGCCAGATCCCTACATTTGACGATCCGTCGCTGCTGATTGGTGAATCGCTGCAACATTTGTTGGTGCGGGGGTGGTGAGATTTGTGTCGGGCGGAAGGGAAAACCCAAGAGGAAGGACTCCGCTGTGCTGCTGATACAGAGCATTAGGCAAAGCACTACACTTGATTGCTACGTATTACGAAGAATTTGATTTCTGATTTAAAGAAATTTGAGAAACAAATCGATATATATATAACACGTGATAATTATGCTCGGAATGTTTATGTATATATATAATCCTTTTTTTCAACGCATTTTATGGTGTTTGGCACTAGTTCAAGGTGCCACGCCCTCACACAGCAAGCAGGATATTGAAGGGCATATTGGTTTGCTGATATTCACTACCTATGATACGTTAATTTACTTTTGAAAGTTGTGTTCCAGGTTTCACCGTAGAGGACCACGCGAACAGCATTTCCACCGTTTCCGACGCACCGATGTTCTCAAACCCTCTGTCGATGGGGTTAGCGCCTGCAGAGCTCTAAATTAGTTCCCACGTTCCTCCCTGCTCCCATCTTGCCTGGGGTTCACCTTTCTCGCCCTTCAGCCATTAGACCTCTCAAATTTGCCCATATAGGCGTCCTTGTTCCAGGCTTGTCTTTTTTGTGACAGGTTTTCCCTGCCTGCTTTATTCGTGCTGTGTTGCTCTGAGCGTCCTCTGAGATGGCTGACTGGAGGTATGACGCGGGCGATCGCTACGGCGATAGATACGCTGCCGATCGCGGACGGGGTGCTGGGACACCGCCAAACAGTGTTAAACGCCGTCGAGACTACGGTCAGATTTTACTTATACATCTCTGTTCGTTCCTTTCATAGTACGGCCGATTTGGCAAGCATGCATGTATTAAATTTTATTCCTCAAATTGCTGCTACTTTTCCGTGTCGCGTTACATTTCTGCGCTCCCCCTACCCAGAGTACGACGCGCCGCCTCCTGGCTCCGCAATGTACGGCGGGATCGGCGGTCCGCCAAGGGGGTCGGGAGCTCCGGGCTACGGCGCGCCTGGCGGATGGCGGGACGCCGACCCTGCGGGGCTCAGACGAGGCGATCTGGTGCGTGGCACTACTCGGGGATCTGGATCAGATGTGTCTGTGTGCCACCAGGGGATTACATGTGTCGCGGATGCGTCTCGTTGTCTGCCAATCTCGTTTGTCAGATGTGTCTTGTTGCACATCAAGACGTTAAATTTATTCAATTATTTAGCATTCTCGCCCTTTTTCTTCTCCGTTGCTGTCTGCAGAGCTCCATGGCACCACCAGGCCTGGCGCCACCTGGCACGCTCGGATTGGGCGGCATGGCGGACGACCATCTGGGCCCGCCTCCCCCCGGGTCGGGCATGCGAATGGACCTGGCGGGTCCGCCCATGCCGCGCGGGCCGGGGGGTCCGCCCATGCCCATGCCTGGGGGAATGGGCGCGCCAGGGGTTGGGCCGGGGGGGATGCCGCCAATGGACATGCATCCGGGGGACATGCCCATCCCGCACGACGCGTCCCCCACGCTATACATCGACAACCTGCCGCCCGACTGCTCGCGCCGCGAGGCCTGCCGTACGTTCTGCGCTGTCTTGTCCCTCGCACCCTCCTGTCCCGCTGCATTCTGTGTCTGTGACCGTCCTTAGCTGACGTTTGACTGCTCGCCACAAGGCAGGGTCGCAACGAAGGTCTTCCCTCAAGGACTCCTGCCCTTGTACCCGGCCGAAAATCACCTTTCCCTCTCCGTGGCGTGCCTTCCACTCCTCCGTGCCCCTTCATTTTCTTCTCCTTCCCCTCCACCCCTTTTTTCGCCTTAGCTTCCCCTCTCCTCCGTCCCTCCGCGCCCTGTCCGTCCCCCCCGCGCAGACATATTCCGGCCGTTCATCGGCTTTAAGGAGGTGCGCCTTGTGCCCAAGGAAGTGCGCCGGGTACGTCGCGCCCCCTCTGGCTCTGTCCCGCTGGGCCTGCCCCCGGCTGTTGCACCCGCTGCCCCCTCTGTCTCCGCCCCCGCTGCTGTCCCCCGCTGCTGTCCCCCTCTTACCTTCAATCCCAACCCAACTACCCGACTCTGCAAAACATGCAAGACGGTTAACTGTCGTTGATTCCCTCTGCTGCGCCATTGTTCTAACGTCTGCGTGCTGCGTGGTGCGTCCTCCTGCAGGGCGGCGAGCCCGAGAAGCTCATCCTCTGCTTCGTCGACTTCGCCGACGCGCGCTGTGCTGCCACGGCGCTAGAAGCGCTGCAAGGTGGGGATTCCTGCTAGGGACGGCTGCAAGGTAGGGCGGTCAGGGCTGCTGCTCAGACGGTAAGGCTCTCATTTTTTAAGCGGTGTTCGTCTGGAAGCGTCTCCGATTTAGCGTAGCACTATCGCTCAGAAGTGGAGGCGCGTCAGCGAAGTTAGCAGATGGCTGTGGGCGAAGTTACGAAGCACAGCGACGTTTTTGTCGAATCATGTAGACCGCGACAGGAAAGGCGAGTCGTGGGTGCGAAGTGGTGGTCCTTCGAGGTTGGAAGTTTTCGGACGAGTTGTGGTTTAAGACCGATCCGATCTCCCTCCTCGAGTAGCTGGTCCCGACGCCGCATGTTTCCACCAGGTCTCGTCGAATTATAGGTGATCTCTAATCCAATTCGAGTGCGCCTCGTTCTAGCCTTCCTAGATCTATCGTAATGTCGATCTTTCTTACGAATATAACGCACGCTTCAGTCCAGCAGCTCCTGACAGCTGCTGCTGCTGTTGCAGCCGATACCTTGCGCACGCGTCCGTTCGTGCCACTTTTCTTCCCAGCGACTTGTGCGTGATTGCAGGCTAATGCTTATACGAGATGGGTTACAACGTACATGTTCGATGCTCGAACCTAGTCCCTCCCCCCCGGCGACCCGTTCACGCTCCCCTTGGCCTCGTAAACCCTGCAGGGTACCGTTTCGACGAGAACGATTACACGTCGCCGAACCTGCGAATCGATTTCGCCCGCCAGGGTCCACGCAGCCACCCGCGCGACGACTTCCGAAGAGACGACCGCGACTTTGGCCGCGGCGGCGGCGCTGGAGGGCCCCCTTTCCGCCCGCGCCGCTAGTCCGTAGCGCTTCAGACGCTAGTTTGCGCGACGGTCGCTGATTGCTAATGGGTTGTACGTGCGGCACGGTAGCGATTTCGGACGCGAATTGCCGTTTTGCAGCCGCCGTGACTTGAAAAGGTGGTGGTAATGATTCCGCGATTTTTGCAGGAGGCCCTGTTTCGCGGGTGTCAGCCGATTCATAGCGATTGTGTGTGCGCCTGTTGATTGTTACGCCGTTCGGCTACTGACTGTCCTGTAGCGACTTGTATATCGAACTCAAAATAGGCGCTCCGATTTGCTCTCAGATCCCTCCTTGTGTCACATCTCCAAAACACCCCAACCCCCCCCCCCCCCGTCGCACCCGTTCCCCACTTACCCCCCTTCCTCCTTTGGAATAATACTGTCTCGAGAACATGCGCGTCGCACCTAGCTCCTCCAATCGCCTTGCTGCGCCCGCATATGGGATTTTAGTTCAGTTGGACCGCCACTATTCGATAATCAAGCCAGGGGCTTGGCATCATCCCTAGCACCTTGTAGCACCGTTTGGCACCTCGTATCACCACGTCTGGCACCATAGGTGCATTAATACGAAGTGTCCATCTCTCAAGAATCGCTCGATGATGCCTACGTGCCACTTTCAAATCAGGATGCTGATTAGCCTTACCTGATCTGCTAACAACCGTACTGTAGTATCCCTGGATGTCATTGTCACTCACCAGCCTGGTACGGCATTCCAGGCTGGGAGTGCCGAGGTTCAATAACCTGGAGCCCACTGACACACTTCAGTACCTGTGTTGTCATTGCTCAGTTGATTGATTGCTGCTTGGCTTGGGCTTGGGCTTCACAGGTTGGGGTGGTGATGGGTTTTGCCTGAAGGGTGTGGCATGGATGCATCTGTTGAGGGTGTTAGGGTTACACCAATGACAGTGCTGCATTGTTCTGGTTAGAGGATCTTCAAGTGCATGCCATGTTGACAACATTTGGTTCTAGTGCTGGCATGCATGTTCAAGGCCTTGCAATCTCCTGATCCTGCTGCAGTTTCCATGCTGCCTGACGCTACACCTACTTACAGTATCCTAGCCATCTGGATTCTTTCGTTTCTTGTTGTAGATGCACATGTACAGGCCAAGGCTGAAAACCCTTTGACTGTATGAGGGCCAAGCCTACATCTGTTCACAATTTACTAGTCTTCCAAGCAAGGGATTCTAGTTGGGCTAGTATCCTAGTAAAGTGTATTGCTAGTACCGTAAAGAGAGATTTCCATTACTTCAGAAATTACATCAACCAAAATTAAAACGAGGTGCTCAGAGCTGTGGGGCAGGAATGCTGGCAAGGCAGGTCATTGCCGCTTGCCAGCATTCCTGCCCCCATACTCAACATGGCACACAGGCACATACACACTTCACCACTACTCGCTTCAGCACCACCCACTCTCTCTACCCACTTCAGCAATACCCACTGGAGCACTACTCTCTGTCTCATGTTGAAGCAATGGCTATCACGGCAGCACCATCTCTCTCACATCTACCTTGCCAACCCAGCTCCGCCATATTACGCTGCTGCAGCAGCGGAGGGGATTTTGACGCCCATTAGCTGTCCACCCCAGATGACGCCTGACACACTGTTCCCAGCCAGCACAGCGTATCCGCTCACTGTGTTGTTCACGCCGTTGCCCGCCCCAGCTCCTGGGAAACCACCTGAGAAGCCACCTGCAGGCGGCTGCCGCTGCCCGCCCTGCTGCTGCCCCCCCTGCTTGCCAGGGCCGCGGGCCATTGCGCTCAGCCCCATGCTCCTGCTGCCCTGACCGCCACGCGCGCCCCCCGCGCCCCCAGCGCCCTTGCCGCCGCCGTTGCGCCCGCCGCGGCCGCCGCCGTTGGTGCGCGGAAGCGACGCGTTGGGGAGCACCGCGACCAGCGCCTCGACGGTGGTCGCGTCGGCGTTCTCGAGGAACGCGTCGAGGCGCGCCTCCGCGTGCAGCAGCCACCAGCCGGCGCGCTGCAGCCAATCGGAGGCGGCGAAGGGCAGCGAGAGCACGGCGGGGGCAGACGCGGCCGAGTCGCACACGGCGCCCTGCACGATCGCGATCGAGTCGGGCGGGCCGGCGGCGGCGTCGCCTCCGACGAGAAGCGCGTCGACGAGGAGGTTGTAGTTGCCCGTTGAGTTCCTGCGGGGACGAGCGGGGCGGGGGGGAGGGCGCGGGAGGCAAATATAGATGGGAGTATGGTAAGTGACGGGGCGACTTGTGACACGAGTGGGTCAGGAAAATAAACCGCCTGAGAATTTCTCTTGATTAATTTTCATTCTTCGTAGGGTTTCTTGGAGAAGAAGGTGACGGGGGTTATTCTTGAGGCGATCCTTACTTGAAGACGGTGAGGTGAAAGCGGGCGTCAACGAAGGTCGGGTCCGCGGAACAGTTTTTCAACTGCGCGCCAACGTCGGCCGTCAGATTTCCGACGACCGTCAGGTTCAGCGGAGGACCGCGCGGCTCCCCGCCAGGGCCGCCGCCAGGTCCGCCGCGCCCGATAGGGCCTCCGCCGCGCGGACCCCCTGGTGGGCCCCGACCGCCGGGTGGGCCTCCGCCAGGCGGGCCGCGCTGCGCGAAGGCGGATGTCACTGCGAGGAGCGTGAAGCAGACGAGAAGCAGTGTCTTGCAAGCCATGGCTGAGGTTGCGCGTAAGGAAACGTGGTTCGAGTGCGATACGGAAACGAGTTCACTCAGTAGTGAAAAGTGACTTGTGACTTGAGTTGTTGGGAGGCTGGAGGTAAAGCTGGTGAACATTCATGTTTGAGCGACGGCTTTTTATAGCTTCTCGTTGTTTGCACTCAACGACGGGTCAACTCCACAGCAGTTTGTCCCTCAGGTACGATGCCACACCTCGTTCCCTGAGTCGAGTATGTGATTGGTCCAGACAGTGTTACAGCTTGCCATACCTTTGAACAAGCTGGTTCGGTGTGCTGGAATGTACCATGGACGAGGTGTTGAATTGAAAATGCCCGAACGCCAGGCAAGGTTACGAGTCAGCGTACATTCTGTGGAGAAAACAGCTGACTGCTACAAAGATGCGCTCTAGAGAAATGCAGTTCAGCGTACAATGAGATTTTTTGGTATAAATTTCGACGCATACTGTTATCCTACTTTGATATTTTCGCCTGTGGAGAATGACCGTTCAGCATATTTTATGGCCGTTCTTTCTCAGTGACGAAAACCGTGTCTAGCTGTTTTTAGGGTTTATTGGCATGTCAGGGAGCTTCTGTGGTTTGATTTTACCATGTATGGGTTGAGTACGGTTCTATGTCTCTAATCAAGTATCGTGAACAATACTTGCAATCTGTTGAATTCCAGCAAATCCAGGTAGCCTGCAGCCATTAATTCAGCAAGTAAAGTTCCGCTCAAATCGGCTGGATTGACGAGCTTCTAATCGATTTCTCTTTTTTGCCGGTCACGTCGTTCGCACTTTATTTCTCAACAATCTTGTCCGTGTATACTTCGTCGCTGCGATGGGCGTGGAGAGCGGGAAGAACGGCCTTGCGACGTATTACCGAGGAGCAATCGAGCAGATCGATGTCAACCTCCGAGAGAAGACCAAGAATCTTCGTCGGCTCGAGGCTCAGCGAAATGAGCTGAACGCCAAAGGTAGACTCGCGCTTTAAAGACTTGAGTTGAGACGCGTTGGAATCCAGACTACGTACAGATCGGTCTGAAAGGGTGTCTGAACTGGGTGTAATTTATTTCCTGTCCGACAAGTCACTGATCGTTTCTCGGATTCTTGGAATTCCAGATATGACTACGGTGAATTCGGTCAGAACGGGCGTTTTCACGCATCGTGAAGCCGGCTAAGTCACGAGTCTGATGCGTCAGCCACGATATCCGGATCTCGTGGCTAATCCGTTCAGCATGAGAGCAAAAGACATGCCAGTTCGTGTGTCCGTGCACTCCCTCGTCTAGAAGCCTCTATTATGTATTTGCGTGCAAACGTCTTTGCGTCCGTGTGTCCCGTCTCTCCCTGCCCCGCACCCCGCAATTGTGCTCGTTCTTCGTTTCTCCCTGTATTCTTTCCTGATTCCGCCCACCAACTGACCTTCCTTGATGCAATCATGTGGACCATCTTCCGTGCATCCGTTCAACCTTCCATTCCATCTATGTATGTGCATCTCATGCACCCATCCGTGTGCGTCAGTGCGGGCGAAGGATCTGCAGCTGCTGCAC